TTAGACTGCTGGACCTTCAAATACATCATTTGTAGTGATCTCTCTTTCCCTCTATTCCAGCTCTGATCAAGGCCATGGCTCCAATACTCTTCCTTTGGTGCTGGGCCCTGTTGCTGCCCTGCTCCTGATCATTGTGACAGCTTTTGCCATCGTCAAATACAGGCAGATGAAGAGATCTGGTGAGTCCCTGCCTTTCCTGTCTCTCAAGAAACACCAGCAATATTAAGATGAAGGCAACACCTTTGTGTCTCTGCTGGGCTGAGCTGCTCTCCTGGTTACCCACCATGTGAGGGGCAGGGAAGGGACCTTACTGGTCCCACTGAGCCCATCCTTGGAGCTCCAACACCCAGGACAGAGTGCCCAGCTGAGACAGAGCCCACCCCTGTGTGTGCTTTGCACCTTGTATCCCACAGCATCGCCTGGCACAGAGGGTTCAGGTGCCAATGTGCTCACACCAGCCCTAAAAAGAGGATTTATTTGTTTCCCCCTCTCTTACCAGACCTGGTGTCCATTGGGAGCTACAGGACGAACATCAGCATGTCAGACTTTGAGAGTGTGAAGGATTACACTGCCAGCAACAGCGCCTGTGTGAAGGAGAGCCAGGAGACTGCCATCGGAGGGGACGGTAGGGTGCTGGCTCCAGCCCCCCCCGGGGTCAGGGGTCTGCAGAAGGACCCCACAAAAGCCACAGAAACGCCTGCCCACCACTGCCCCCCTCCCTAACACCTCCCTTTGCCTCCCTGCAGAGTTCATCACCACCAAGGACACCCCGGAAAGTGCCGCCGAGGCAAAGAAGGCAAAAAGGGTAAGAGGAGGCAGGAGAGAGGCCACTGACCTGGGAGATGCAGCCACAGCCCTCCAGTCTCTGCCAAAGGGGCTGCCTTCTTCCAGGGGCCTTATTTATACCCAGGTGCTCTCAATCTTACCTGATCCAGCACCTGCTGCAGATTAGCCTCTGTGGGAAGGACCTTACCCCTTTCCTGACTCCATGTTCTAGTGGAGACAGTAGCAGCAGTCACCTTGCTTCAAACAGTAAACCAGGTCAGCCCCAGGTTGCATCAGGAAAGTTGGGGTTGTTACCATAGAGATGAAACACTGGGATAAGCAGCTGGCCAGAAAACAGAGCACATCCCACCTTCCAACCCTCCCACACGTGGGCAGTGGTTCAGGGGGCACAGGTAGGCAGGGAGGGCTCTGCCCTTGCAAGGGCTGTGACTTGTTCCTGTGATCCCTGCCTTTCCCTGCCTCTAGTTTTCCCTGCCATCTACTCCCCCACCCCTCCCTCTGGGGAAGGTCATGGGCAAGTGGCAGCACTGGGCAGTAGCTGAAGGTGCCAGATGCAAACCTGTGTTTTTCCAAGTCCCTACCCACAGGTGAGATGTGGGTGTTGTAAGTGCCAAGAGCTGGACTGGAGCAATAAAGGAAACAGGAAACCAGAAAAGCCTGGCAGCTTTAGGACAGGGAGCTGGATGCCAACCCACAGGGACAGGCTTGCCATGGAGTCCCAAACAAACAAACATTTGGGGCCTTCCCAGGGCCGAGCAGAGGAGTGATGCTCATACCAGCACCGATGGGACCCTCTGGATCCTCCCACTCATCCACTCTGCCTGTGTCATCCTGAGACCCTCACAGCCCACAAAATGCTGCCTTTCCCCTGCTGGCCATCCCCAACCACCTAACTGTGTCCTCCTGTCCTTCCCCAGAGCTCCAAGGAGGATGCTGACCTCGCCTACTCCACCTTCCTCTTCACCTCGGGCAGCATCGCTCAGGGTGGCTCCGGGGGGGCCAGCACTGCCCTGGACGTGTCCCCCTCCCAGGAGCAGGTCTGAAGGTCAGGGATTGAGAGGAGGCAGCGACTGGGACCGGCTCTACCTTGAGGATCACACCAAGCCATCAGCAAGCACACACACTGTTCATTGCTACGACGATTTGCTATAGCTTGACCTTTTTTTTTTTTTTTTTTTGCTTAAATTCAGCTTCGAGCGGTGATTTAGGAGGAATTGTTTGATGCCAAGTGGGGCTGGGCTGGAAGTGCAGGGTCTGAGTGAGCAGGTTGGACTGGGAGACCAAGTGGATCATCCCACCAACAGTTCCAACAGAGTGGGCTCTCACAGGGCATTTTTAAAAAGTCCCATTTTCTTTTAAAGGCAGCTGGAAAACCCTTTAGAACAGCATCTGATGCTTTTGATTCCTCTAAGCTTTCTCGACCTGAGGGCAGCACCTGCAGGCCAGACATGGTCTGAAGTATTTTCATGCACAAGCAATAAAGAATATCAGTGGCTTTCAGCAGACCAGGGAACTCGATCCGTGGGAGAGCACGGGGAGATCACACCCAGACAGACACAGTAAGGGTGGGACAAGCTGAATATTCCACAGATAAAGCAATGTAGGAAGCAGCAATGATGAAGAAGTGATGAAGCAGAGAAGCAATTTTCCCTGAACGCCAGGAATGGGATAGGCTGGTGCTTTACCTGAAAAAGAGAAGGGCTGTGGAGGGGTTTGACAGGGCCAGGGCAGAAACTGCACAGGAATTCAAATTCCTGACCTTGTGCTGCTGAAGTGCAGCTCTGAGACCAAACCATAAAATATAAAGATTGGGAAGCATCACCCTGGGTAGGGTCTGATCTGACTGTGTTACAGTAACAACCACACAATATTTCTGGTTCAGTAAAGTATTAGCTGCATTTAAAAAAATGAAAACAGTGTCATAGCTCAGGGAGGTGCTGGAAAATGGCTGTTACCCGAGAGACACTGAGTTTCCCCAAGGATGAAACACAAATTATTCCTGAATCACGGACTTCCCCAGAGGGCAGCAGCCCCAACAGCGTTTGTGTTTTCACATCCCCAGTGCAATAATTATCACCTTACCCATAGCAAGGCTGGGACCTCAAAGGTCAGGTTACAGCTCACCTACCTCCTCTCCAGGGCTCCATCCCCTCTACAGTACCCTGGGAAGGGGCTTGGATATTGGAAAAGGTGTGGAGGGGCCAGGACAGGTCTGTGCCTGCCCGGAGTTGCTGGAAGTGAATGACTGACTCTGCTGGAAAGTGTCCCCGGGGGTGAGCAGTCAGAGTGGCAGGAGAACGCTAAGGTTTGGAAACTTCTGAGAGGAGAAAACCCCTTTTGCTCTCCCTTTGTGAATCCACTTCCTCTTCAGCCTGCCCAAAGGCGTCCTTCCCTCAGCTCCCACACCGCCCTGGGAGCAGCTGGGATGAGCTTAATTCCCAGGAGAGGAGCAGGGGCTGAGAAAGGGTTGAGCATCCTGGCTCTGCCTGCACCCCTCAGCCCTGGCAGCTGCCTGCCTGAGACCCCTGCTCCTTCCCACTGCTGACGCTTCCAGCTGGCACCTCAATTCCAAAGGGGAACGGCCCTGGGCTGCTGCTGTGCTTTGCAATGTAAAATCCCTGGTTTTGATGGAAGCAGCAAAGCAGGAGTGGGTTGGGGCACGCAGCACTCTGCACAGGCTGTGAGCAGGGAATAGGATCAGCAGTGAGGACTGTGACAGCACAAGCTCAGGACGTGGAATAAAACCCACACCTCACTCAAGCTGTGATCCAGAGCCCACCACAATCCATGGAAAGGTCCACAGGGAGCTCACCTGACTCTTCACCAATGTGTCAGCTGATTTTCGGGGGTCAGTGGTGAGCTGTGGTATCTCACTGTGTCACAGCATCATTCCCAGTGGTTATTCTTTACCAGGGAATCATGGTATGGGCTGTACCTGTGGGGTCTTAAAGGGTTGGTTTCAGGAGTGATGGAGCTGAAATATCACCTTTCAGAGCGTGGAGGGATGTATTCACCCGGACACCTGGACAAATGAGAGTCACTGAAAAAAAAACCCATGAGAAAGCAAATTACAAGAATCAAAGCCCTGGCAGGCTTCCCTTTGGCCTAAACAAATAGCTGAGGAAGGACAGTGAGCAATCAGGGAGACCTTTCCTTTGAAAGTGAATCACCAAATCTGATTTGATGCCAGAAGTCTGACCAGGGTTCTCCTGTGATGGAGATCAAACCAAAGCAGGAACTCAGTTGTCCTTGGGGGCACAAGGACCTTATTCTATGGGAACAAAATCCTGCTGAAGAACCTCTTCTGCAGTTAAAGCATTCCTGGTGTCACCAGGAAGCATCATTAGTAGTTGGTTGCCCAAGCTGGGAACAGCCAGCCCTCCATCCATCCTGGCTGCTGAGGCTGGAAAGGGAGACCTGGAGAGTTTGGGGCTGTCCCATGGGAACAGAGATGCTGGGAAGAGGCTTGTGCAAGCCTGAAGGATTCACACCAGAAGCAATGAGAGCTGCTCAGAGCCAGGGGAGAGCACACAGCCCCCTGGTTGTGCCCATGGCACCACAGCAGGCAGGACTTGTGGGACACCTCGCTCAGCTTAGTTGACTTTTAGAGCAAAACACACCAAATCAGAGCTTTACCCTCTAGTCTTACTCAAGTCTTATGTCTGGTGAATGCAGCAGCAAGACTTGATCACTTGAAATACTAGGACTAAGCTGCTACCAGGGACATAAAGTCCCAACTGCTCAGTGAGTTCAGAAAGTTTCACCAGCAAGAATCATATAATTCCTCAGAATTCTGACAGACTCAGCACAGTTTCGAGTGGGGTTTACTTACAGTCATTGCAACCAATTTCCACAAAACTCACTACTGAGTGTCAGTAAATTGCACAACACACACAGGAGCCTTTTTCTATTCAGCAACCACATATCTTGCGCAGAAACTTTTTTACTGATAAGGCAGAAAACATCATCTCAAAAGGAAAGACAGATCTTTAAGGCCTCACACACCTTCTAGGACCTATTCTTGGAAGCATTTCTCACACCTTGTTTCAGCCAGATCCATCAGTGGCAGCAGCCCTGTGAGACTGAGCCCAGGTTTAAGCTGCACCAGGGTCCTTCCAGCCAGCACTCAGCACTCATGAATACACATTCCCTATCTGAATATACACTCCCTACACAGAAAATTTATAACTTAAACAACAATTTTATTACATGGTCACAGCTTATGTCTGCCAGCAAGAGAAACCCTTTGAGCTCTTTCCCTTGGAGCATCCTTTGATAGAAGCCAGCAAAGCGAGGGCAGCGCTGATTTAATCAAACTCGTTATTTCCATCTTAATGAAGACTCTGTTGGTGCCTTGACTGATGTGCCTGGCTAGCAAAGCACTCTGTTTGACTGAACCCAGCTGGAATCAGTGAGGAGCTGCACTGATACAGGGCATTTTTGTCCCTCTCATCACTGGGGTGTGCAAGGTCCCAGCAGCTTCGCCAGCCCCGGCCGTGGTGGGTTGTTGATGCCTCCTGCTCCCTAAGGAGATTTCTCCATCCAGTCTAACAGGATGTCCAGCTCACCCAGGGATTTCATTGCTGCATTTGTGACATTCAGCTGAAATGGGATAAAGGAAGAAGTTGTGAGCACAGATAATGAGTACGAACCAACGTAAAGAGGATCTAAATATCTGTGTTAATCACCAGACTCGAGCACCAACTCACCCCTTCGTAGTTTGCAAGTATTTGCTTAAATTTCTCAGTGGATTCCTGCCCACACAGGCACTGATTTTGCTCATGCTGGAAAAATAAGATAAATTCATTAGTTTGAGGCGTTACACTTAAAAATAATAGTTCGGTTTCTAATTATGCTGTAAATTATAGAACTGAGACCTTGTGAAACTGTGGGAAAGGCTGCAGGTCCCTGAATCAGACTTCAGCTAAGAACAGTTTACTTGACAGATGCAGGGACAAGATAAATATTGTCCTTGAGGACTAACGTGGGAGTTTGTTTGCTGGCGAGTGGGCAAGCAGAGAAATTTCTCAGCGGCCAGAAAACACTCTTCACATCACGCTGCTTTGTGTTCTTGTTGAAACCACTTGTATAAATAAAGACTTTGAACTTTGTAAAGCTCTTGGGTTTGTTTATACGCCAAATACTAACAGATGGAACTAAACTGCAGCAAAGAGACAAGACTTACACACTGCTCCAGTTTCCTCTTCATGCTGAGGAAGGAGTTGGCGATGCTGCTGATTTTTCGGTTCACGTACGAATCCTCCGTCTTGCAGTGCTTGAAAACTTTGTCCACGTAGAAGTTGAAGAGGTGATGGGTGATGCAGCACCTGTCTGAAGACTTAAAGAACGAATTTCATTTTTTAAAGGTTATAAACCTGCAGCCACCAAGCCCCTCTCTAGAATAAACCACCCCTGAGAGGAAGCACGTTGTAGCTGAGCACAGCGGGACATTTTGACTCATATAAAGCTTCTTCAGTGCTGCTTGATTTATGCTGGTAATATATATATATATGAAATTATTTTAGACTGCTTTTCCAGGAGATCCATCCCCAGGAAATCTCACAGAGTCAAGACAATAAACAGCTGATTGTGCAGCTGGGTGTTAGAGGCTGAGACCTGAAGCAGTGGCCAGTACCCAGCGCTTCAGGGTGTGAGAGAGCTGAAAAATGCTTATTTATAACATATTGCACCTCCCAAGACCACATTCCTCTGCTTTTGGATTCTTTAATGGCTTTCCACCCAAGGACACTCACGTTAACCTTGTGCAGGGAGTGTGGATGGGACAAGATGCTCAGGGTCCGGATGGGGTCTCTTGCTTGCTGCAAAGGAGAGCACAGAGATGGGGAAGGTTCCAGAGGGGCTCTGGGAGCTGCCAACTAAAGAGCTTCCCCAGCTCCACAAGAGCCTGGAGAAATACTTACAATATTGGCTTTAATTGCTGTGAAACCAGCCCTGATCTCAGTCATGCTCATGGAAACCCTGCAGGCTCCAAAGTGCAGGATTTTGTTCCCAGCTGTGGGCATCAAATCCACCCAGCAGCACATGGAGAAGAGGCAGAGGAACAAGTGGGATCCCTTCATTTCAGCTGCCTGGGAGACCTGCTCAAGGAAAACAGCTCTGACTCATTATCTTTGCTAAATAACACAACTGTGATGCACATGAAAATATAAACATTTTATATAGCACCTGTAAAGTACATCTCTATTAAAAAAACCACACTGGGTAGCATCTCTTAGTCATTTCTTTTTTACTCTTCATCAGCAAGAGAGAAAAAAAAAATCAAACAAAATCAAATATTTAACAGAAGAGCCCAAGAGAAAACGAGGAAAAATAAATAAAATGCAAGTAAAAAAAAAATTGCACGTAAATAGATATAGCTCTTCTGAAAAATATTTCATCAGGGAAATAAATATGGATATACATTAAATTTTTAAACGTCTACTAACTCAGAAGCAGCAGGAGGTAACTGTGACTGAAAGCAGCAGGTTCCAAACTCTGATTCCCAAAGGAAAACGCTTTCCCTCAGGAATAACAGCAGTCAAACACGAGTTCTACTAGCGCTGAAAATTAAGGTTATTAAGGAAAAAAACTATTTTAGAGACACGTTATAGGAATACAAGGAAATACCCACGAGCACATAGAGCAAAAGGATAAAAATCAGTGTTTTACCTTGTTCTTTGGTGTGGGTTCACCTGTCTCGACGATGTCTGACCTGGAGAGCTCCGAAGAACACGTTTTTATCCCGGTACCAGGAGGAAATAACTCTTGGATTAACTTTTGGGATTTTTCTTGCTTTTCCCGGCATGTATTTCCCTTTGTAATTTGCTGAATTAATGAGCAGGGGAAAGGGACCAGCTCTCTCTCCCCCACAGGTGTTTTCCTCACCTACAGAGGCGGGAACTCTTGGCATCGCTGCGTCATTTTTCATTCGGGAAGAAGGATGTGACCAAAAGGAGGGACCATCACGGGCGTTGCATCCCTAAAATGCCAAGCTCAGGGGCTTCCCCAGCATGGAGCCAATGCTACCAAGTGATTCCTGGAGAGGGCCCCTTCCTGGCTTGTCACAGAGGTCTTGGGATGTGGGAAGTTGTGGGAAGTTGAGTGGCATCATCCCATGGTCCGAACACCCCAGGGCTTCTGGCACTGGACAAGGTGCTCTGGTAGAAGAGCTGTGACTCAGGAAGTTGTCCAGACCTTTCTCCATCATTGTCCTGGCCTTCCCCTGCCAGGCTCAGGGAATTCTGCTTCCAGGCTCGCTCCTCAGGTGGGTGGACACTTATCTGCACCGTGTGTCCCTGGAGCACGGGTACAGAAGGTCAGGGATTTCGGATGGCACAGCTCCCACCTTGGTGGCAGAAATCTCTTGGTCTCCAGGGTCACAGGTGACTTCGGTGATCATTATGCACAGTCCAAAAGTGGCACCCTACAGAGGGACAGAAATTTCACTCCAGCTTCTCAAAGTCCACCAGCCCAGCAGCAAAATAACAAGCCCACGATTATCCCACCCCAAGATTTCGCTGCTGAGCAAAACTGATGCAGGCGAGGTCCTCCAGCAGAGCAGACACATTCTCCCACCAACATTTCAGATGCAGGCTGCCCCCAGGGAGCCAGGGTTTGCCAGCTGGGGCATGTTGTCACATGAAAGTGGCACTACTGGTGCAAACCCCAGGCTGGTTCACCGGGCTGTTGGCTCCGAGGCTGGTTTGGTTGTTCCTGCAACCCCTCTGGAGAGAGCCAAGCTCATTCTACAAAAAAAAAGGAGCAGTTAAAAAAACTTCTTGGACTATCTGTGCCCGGGAAGGATGGTCAGGTGGACTTAGAGGGCATGGGGGTGGCAAAATCACCTCTTTAATCCCACAGCCAACCTCCAGAGAAGGTTCCCACTGAGAGCAGCAGCCCCAGTGTGCACCTCTTGCAATGCAGGTGTATCTTGTGCCACTGCCTGTGGGCCAGGGCTGTTCTGTACAGTTTTGCTGAGTGACTAATTTATTGATAACCAAACATATATCCATCACCAGGGAAGACTAGGCAAATGGATTTTATGCCCAGGCTAGTCATAGTATTGCACAGAGCGTTGCTGAAACTGCCCCAAATGCACCCAACGTGCCTCCCTCCCGCTGCGCCTTCGCCCTGTAAATCATCCAAAGGGCAGGTCCAAATCTGCAGCAGGTTGCATTTGCCCTTGCTGAGGTGTTGGAGGGATCTGTGAAAGCACAAGGCTGTTAATCCCTCCCTTCCTCCCCCAGTTCCCAGCTGCTGCCTGTAATTCCAGCAAAAGTTTTGCTTGGAGCAGAGGAAGTGGCAGTAGCATTCCCAGGAGCCTGGTGCACACCCAGCCTGGATGAAGAAACAAGGGAAGAGGCAATGAGTTCTTACTTCATTATGTAAATGGCAGATGACAAAAAGGGATTTCTTTTTATTTTTTTTTTTTCCTTTTGGTAACTGAACTGGAGCTCACAATGGGTCAGCCGAGTGCCAGCAGGCAAGAAAGAGTTGTGGGTTAAAGACTGCCAGGCAGGTGCAGGGGAGGATTGGGGGTGATATGGGAACAGGAGGGAAATGTTGTGTTATCAGGGCCCAGGGCCTTGCCACAGACCTGGCTGGGTGTCCCTCAGGATGGCATCAACAGGGATCACAGAATGGTTTGGGTTGGAAGGGACCTTAAAGGTCACCTGGTTCCATCTCCTTCCATGGGTAGGGACCCCTTCCACTAGTCCAGGTTGCTCCAAGCCCCGTCCAACCTGGCCTTGGGCACTTCCAGGGATGGGGCAGCCACAGCTTCTCTGGGCAACCTGTGCCAGGGCCTCCCCACCCTCACAGGGA